GACGGCTCTCGGCCAAGACTAGAGTCACATAGAATGGGGGAGTGTCCAAAGCACCTCACACCCTATTCGAGAACTCATCGCTCCTCCCTGTTCTTCCGCTTAATCTTTCCTCCTCCTTCCTGCTTGAGCCAAAGCGTTCATACGCAAAGGGCTTTGGGGCCCCAAACTTTTGCGGCCGCTATTCGAAAACTCCCTACTGTTGCTTCCATCGCATCTACTCGAGTCAAGCAAAATGTCAATTAGTCAAGCGAAAGCCAAGTAAAGACGCCCTTGACTCGATACATAACGCGCGATCTAGTGAACGCCCCAATAGAGACAGTTACGGGGCTCACTTTTCTCGTCTTTTAATTTAAGAATCACTTCTCCCAGCGAACGGCTGTGCAGCGTGGGCAGTCGGTTTTTACTAGCCGACACTGCCTGCGTCGGCCTTGCGATGCGAGAGGGGAGCGACAGTTGGCACGAGACGCGAGCATGCGCTGTGGGGGTGTCGACGACTCCCCCGACGCCGGATTTGCGACTATAACATGTTCAGCGTTTAGAAAATTAGGACGCCTCGGCGTGAGCAAAAGTGTGCAGCCGCCATCTACCGACGCCTGCTGCGGGTGTGCATGCCTGTCCCGTCGTTGTCTGACGGGGGTGTCGCTTTCTGTGTTCCGTCGAATATCTGCGTCGTTCTATTACGAGCGGCTGAAACAGCGCCTGTTCAAGCGTCGAGCTCAAGTCGTTTCCTACACTCGCTAATTAGCCTCCTATAATTAGCATCCTATAATCTAACGAAGCCACATCACAGTGGCAATGTTGGCAGACTTTCACTATGTTGTAGCATGGTCTCGTAACATTTTCATTCTCCCATAAGAACATAACTGAGTGAACACTGTTGGGACGAAAAACTTCGCCTTAATTGTTGGTTTGCCCTGCGTGCAGCCAAGAGGGACCACTGTCGAAAGTGGGGAGGCTAAGTCTCCCAGATTTTCTCAGTGGGGGGGGGGTCTCGAGCCTCCCGTGCACCCCCCCCCCCCCCCCCGGCTAATACGCCTATGGCGCAGCCTTTGAGTCGCTGAAAATCGACCATTGTTGCGGTGGTTCCCGATTGACCACACAGAGTGCTGCGCGCAAAGCAGCTAGCTCCGCTGCTGTAGATGCCGTGGAGTGGTCAGTCCTAAAGCTGATGGTAACACCTCTTGCTGGGACAACTACTGCACCAAATGAACCCTGGCAATTCGTGGAGCCATCGGTATCTATATGCAGACTGAATATTTCTCGTTTCAAAAGAAGCAGAGACAGTTGTTTCAGCACGGGCGACGAAAGCTCAGATTTCCTGCGGATCCCTCGTACACTAAGATGCACTGTGGGTCGAATAAGACACCAAGGGGTATCGATGGTTTAGATGCCGGAGTGAAGCCCGAGGGAAGTTTGTTGTTGTACTTCCCAATCATTTTAGCGAACGATGCTTGGCGCCTCTCTGAAGGCAACAGTGCAAGGTGATGACAGGGAGAATGTGCAAAGTGTCTGATGTGCGTTAATGGACTTCTACAGCCATCCGAGTTTGTATTGGATAGTCACCAGCAATTACAATTGTTGCCTCTGTTGACGTACACCTGGGCAGACCAAGGCACACTCTCAGTGTTTTAGGCTTGTGCTGCCTGTAGAACACGAACATTGGTCTTGCAGGTATTGCTCAGCAGGAGCAAGCGATATATATATTTCAGGAAACCGAGAAACAGGGCTCTGTAGAGTTCCATCATTGCGTCTACTGACATCCCCCACGTCTTTCCTTCCAGAAACTTGAACAATTGGGAAATAGGGTTCAGGTGCTTCTTCATATATAGGCCACATGCGGACTCCAACAGAGGTCCCTATCAATAATGATGCCCAGAATCGGTGGGTTCTGGCATAAGAAACTGGTCACCCGCTTATTGAGATGACCGGAATAAAAGCTAGAAAGACAGTACCTTTCTAATACACTAAACAAGTTAGATGAGCAGCCGCTGTTAGAAGAAAGTATACCGCGCCATCGTCATGACTCATCTTCACAGAAAAAGGCTGTGCCAGCACCTACTGCACTTCTTGCGAACTACTGGCCTGTCAGAACGCCTCTGAGTGGACTGTGTGCGTGTGTGTCCGTGTTTTTCTTTTTTTTTTACACTCTCTCTTTCAACCTCCATTCCCCAACCCCAGTATAGGATAGCATACCAGATACTAGCATCTGGTTTCCCTCCCTGCCTTCCTTTTACTAATTTCTTGCTCTCCGAGTTATTCTTCGCGTGTTAATAAAATCAATTGTGGGGGCATTTCTGTCAATACATGTAGTTTTATTTTTATTTTTGAGCGTTTCTTTGTGGTAAATAAAGTTGGTAGGGGGGGGGGGCGTTTTTGTCACAAAGATCAGCTTATAGCCTCTGGAATTGTAGTATTTTTATATTGCAGAGTCATCCTTCATGTTTCAATAAAGTTGGTTGGGGGAGGGGGACTTCTGTGCTGGCTTTTAAAGAAAAATAATCGATGAAAACCACGGTGTAAACTAAACTCGCTCTTACCACCCACTCACAAAGCAAGGTCTCGCTCTAAAAAAAAAAAAACGTAAAAATTCATCATTTATGTTGTAAATTGTGGAGGAAGAAAAAAAAAGGAAGGAAAATAGGAAGAAAATAACGGTAGGGAGGTTAACAAGCCTATAGGCAGCCGGTTTGCTACCCTGCGCATGGAAGGGGGATGGGGGAGATGAAAGATGCTGACGGCTAATTCTTTTGAAGCGAAGTCAGCCGTTGGGCGGCACGCTCGGCAGAAACGAGCTTGCTGCCCATCTTGTTGTTGGCATGTGTGGCCAAACAGTTTCGAAGCGTGGTTTCTTTTTTGTTCACGTCTGTTTAATGTTATTCTATCGACGAAGGTGACATCACATTGCTGAGAAGTTTCCGCAATGGGTAGAAAGTGTTTTGTACTGAACTGCCGTTCTGGCTATCAGACTTTTGCACAGCCTGTGCTTCTTTTCAAAGTTCCATCTGAAAGTGAGCGTTGGCATAAAAATGTGAATTCACATAGTAACATCTACCCGTGAACAACCGCATTGCTTTAGTGTGCTGTTTATGAAATACTTGCGTTGTTCAAGTATTTATATGGCGGAACAACTCCATTGCTCTTTTGTGCTCGATATATAATAATTGCGCGTTTGAAATAAATATTTATATCGTGTTCACATGGAACAAATGCAACTATGGTTCAACCATTTCATGTTTAAATGAAAGCAGCGATACGCATGAATAACGTTTCTGATGTATTAACTATCCTCTTTTGATAGAGGGGTAATAATTATTACTGGGGGTTTGCGTGTCAAAACCACAATTTCATTACGAGGGACGCTCTAGTCGAGAGCTCCTGAATAATTTTGACCACCCAGGGTTGTTTCACATGCACCTTCATCTAAGAACATGGTAGTTCCTTGCATTTCCCTAAAGGGAAACATTTGGATGGAGGACTAGCACGCTGACTAACGTTTTTAATGGGTTTTTTTTCTCTACATCGAGGAATGCTTTGAAAAGACAGATTAACAAGTGCAGGCGAGCAGAACTTAGCTTTGAGCACTCCCCGATCGATCGGGGTTGACGACGTTCACGGCCTACACAAGCCATTTTCGTGTTAATGAATCCTTAAACCCGGTGAAGCTTTGTATTTTAATCTGAAATGACAAAATTTCTTTCGCGTTTTGAGTGTTAGTCACGCCAATTGGAATGACAACGTTGGCCAGGTGCAGGATTGCAATGCGCCAGCTCTGCTTCGTTGAGTACGTTGCCAGCGGCACCATCTGACTGTTAACGGCATAGTGCACCCACGCGACCGAACATTATCCGGCCGCTCAGGCGCTCTCAGTGTGAACACCTGATTTTAAAGACGATTATATTTCTTGGGGATCTTCGACCGAAAAATTTTGGTCTGTCTGTCTGTTTGTACATTTGTCTGTTTGTCCGCCTTAACGATACCTCATATGGCACCAAACGGCCAACCCCATCCGCAGCGCCCAGCAATATTGGTCAATGTTCAGCGTTCATACTTGTGCGATTGTCGATTAAAAAAGCAAATATGCGCATATCTGACGCGCCATAACCACATGTCTATGTTTTGTATGTCTGTCTTTATACTAGAAGAGGCACACACAAGTAACTCTAAAGACTGTAGCGTTTATCGCGCTGCGGTGACAGTGCAACGCGATGCCCCAGAAGGTGTTTCCAACGCTTTGCTACGACAACATGGTGGTGGCACCTGCCCGTCGCTTTGCATTCTACACCTTATCACCTCCGAGACTGGCGCGCATCTTTCTCCGCGCACGGGCACACTTTCGTTTTTCGAAGATAACTGCCAGATGGCCCTCGTGTCTAACGTGCCTAGGTGCGCTTGTTCACCTCCGTTACACGCTTGAGGCACTCTAACGCAGCGCCTTCAGAATACCATTCACTGATTTTCTTGCGCAGCACATCAAATAAACGTTTTGTTCACTCTCTCCAGACGCAAGACTATCGTCTTTCGATGACATTTACAGTGTAACATGTAGATTCGGGCCAATTTCTTTTGTGAAAGTTTTATACTCAAGTACACACTATATAGAAGTAATTAGTCTCTCTGCAAGTTTGATATAGGTTAGTTTGACTGGAGCTGGGCTTTACAACAGATGCTAAAAGGCAGCAAATAAACTATTAGCACTATTTATACTATGGCGTGTCTGCTTGACAAATGAATATAGACAGCATAGCACAATGCACAGTGCGATGTTTCTGCCCAACCAATGAACATAAACAGCATGAGCGCATGTCTTACCTGCTTTGTGCCAGACATCTGCTGCTGAGAATTGTCAACGTCAGGTGTCGCACACAGTGTGGTATTTCTGAAGCAATTTAAAATGTCGGCTACTTTTACCTCGTCACTTTCATCGCTGCTGAAGCATGCCAGGTCCAGTAGCAAGCACAAATAACATAAGAATGCACTCCAAATAGGACTATAGGCCAGGCTTTTTGTGAAGAGGGCACACATTGCAAAAAATATATTTTTTCTTCAAGGTAATTAGTGCAACACTGTACATACAACATGACGCTGAAAATGCAGGCATGATACAACTCTAACAAAACATCAAACATTAGCAAAACTTTGTACAGTGAGAAGTATGTACATGGCTTGCAAATTTGAACATTTGGCCCATAAAAATGTTAATTTGAACATGTCTTTATACATAAAAGGTTGTCAATTATTAAAATTAAAAGTGAACAACCTTGTGACACAAAAAAAACATCTAAAAAGTCTCTTTTAATTGTGACTTCAAAAAAAAATTTTAAAGGACGAAAAAAAGTTTTGCGAAAAAAAAAAAAGACTATGACACTCAATTGGGCTTCCACCCTTCTGTAAGAATATAAAGGATGCTGCAGGTTTTCAGGCCCAGATTTCTCAGTGTATAAGGCAATCCTGCAAAAAGACAAGGAAAAAAAAAATGTTTTTTTAGCTTATTCTGCTACAGATATGAATGAAATGCTTCCAAAAAAAATCCCCATTACTTAAGGTGGGCCTTTATGCGGCTGATTCTATATTAAAAGAAAGTGCGTGCCACCAGGAACCAGGAGGGTTGCCCTAAAAGGCTGCCCCCCCCCCCCCGAAATTCGGATGATGGTGGGTGTTTTACAAAAGACAAATAATAAAATAAGTCTTCCTCAAGGCCTTTAAAGTGTGCCCCAAGCCCCGAAAAAGAATTCCTGGCTGTGGCCCTGCATGCGACACAGGATGTGGGAAGGGATTACTAATTGATGTTTACTAATGCATCTTTCAGATGGATTACCCACCATTTTTCAATAAATCTCTCTCCCCCTTAAAAAAACATAATTACAGTGCAGGTAATTTGAAGTCTTGAGCACAAATCAACTCCTTATGACCACACATTAGGTCTAAGCTGAATATAAAAGTGCCTTCATTATAGAATATAGCAGGTGACACCTTTTGCTATACTTGCGAAAAATGCACTGCCCTGTGCTAAACAGTTGTGTGATATTCCATTCCGTTTCTGCTCCAGTGAAGCGTATACTGTGTAGCGGCGACTATAAGCTTAGGCATAGTGCTCCCTGCACAAAAATTGCAAAAAATAAAGCAATGGTATTCCAAGCAACGCAACAAAAGAAGGCCAGACATCAAGGTGCTACTCCAATGCTTGCATCACAGCTTAAGGAGAGATGCAGTTCGAAAAATAGTTTCGTTTGTAGCCTAGGGAAATGAAATTTTTCACAGTATATATAGGCTTTTATGCTGATTTCAAATATTTAATCAGTCTTATAATAAGTTGCACAGTTTCCGTTCCAGTGCCATGACAATGTATAAAATACAGTTCGTTCTGGACAAACTCTTTACAACATTAATCTTCTATGGTTCTGAACTATCGATGGCTTATATTGCTCCACATGAACTGTAAAATGCAAGTAACTATCAAGTGCGTATAAGAGATTTTAATGCACGACAAAAATTGTAATGGGAGAATTCTTACAATACTCAACCCATACTGATTTCTTGCTTCATGTTTGTGATAACTGTACATGCGACATCAATTTTTAAAGAAGCTAGTTGCACCCTTCACATGGTAAGGAATGTGTAAGCGAAATTTCATCCTGATGTGGCTGTCACATGTACCAAAAACATGTCTAAACTCAAGAAGTTGCCTAAAAATGGGTCTTGAGAAAAATGCATGTTAAAGGTAAAAGTAAAAACTTATTTATGTGGCGCAACAATATGCTTTTTTTTCTAATGGCTTTGTTCATCATAAGAGCTTGGCAACCATGGTTATTTTAAACATGTGATATTTTTAGTGAACTCATACAAAATTCACAGGCAAGCAGCCAGGTGACCCTGCCCAGGGGACTTCAGACAATGAGCTCTTTGTAGTTTTAAGTAGCCACCTTGTACTTCTCAAAAGCGATTTTAACCTACTTCGACATTATTTACAATATTTAGTTTTTTTGTTGCAAAAGTACAAAAAGCAAACTGTGATAACAAATAAACACAAAAAATATGCGATTCTGGAAAGAAGTTGCGTTTTTCGGCTCTTATCTCCTCTTAATCGGGTGTATAACCAATAAACCCTGGCAGCAGTTCCGTACAACACTGCTTTTTGATGACACGTGCACCAACAGCAGCTTATATGGTTTAAGGTACGGCTAACTCAAAAGCCACATGTGCCACAGTTACATTGCAAATAAAGTAGCCTAAATGCTCGGCAAATGTTGGGCAGTGTCAATGCGGTTTATGACAGATGGGCATTCAAAGAAGAGAAACCTCTTTTTAAGGAACTTAAAAGGACTAAACGATGCACTGCTGGCTAGCGGTGCGTTTCATTTCAGTTCAGGTTTATAATTAATGCATGGAATGATGCATAGTACCTTTTTACCCGTTAAGTAAAAAAACGAAGACATAGGAAATCAGCAATGAATGCTTTAAACCAGGGTTCGCTAACCTGCCACCCCAGGTTGTCAAGAATGGGAAGGGGCATTAGTACATTACCTATGCCAAGGTCACCATTCGAAAGGTATCTCATATGAGCGTCATTTCTGAAGGGGACTTAGCGGCACGATTCCAACATATAGATACTGATCTCCAAGACGACTAAAAGCTGGACGCCGTTTCTGAGCTTTGTTTCGCGGTTATGTACACTCAAACCTGAAAATAATAAAATTGCACCTAGCACGAAAATACCTTGTTATATCCGAAATTTTTTTATAAACATGTATTTGTAGCACTGCATCTATGACAAAGCTATTTTTTATTTATACTTTGTTACAACTGTTAATGCGTTATATCTGGGATCGTTATATCTAGGTTCGAGTGTATCAACACACTACAACAGCAGAGAGTGCACCGCAAAAACAAAAGAGGGGGAAAGGGGGACGTAGAGAATCGTGCACGGGTTGGCGGGCCGCCATTTTTAGACTCCAGCCATACACTACCACTCGATTACCTAGTCAATATGGTGCTCTTTCTGGGCCCTCCTTTTTCTTAGTCTGGCGTAATATTTGCGAGCAAAGTACAATATTTTCATCTTATTACTAACAAAAAAAGCAATGACACACATGCCTGTATGAATTAGGCCTTGAAGTTAAAAAGAGAAAAAGCATGAAAGCTCAGATCTACTGAAGTTGCTGAGAGAGAAAAAATTCGCAAGTAACTTTTGAAAAACGAACCTCGGCAGATGTAGAAGGCAGCTCGTTTCGGAAGGACCAACCAGGTTGCTCCTATTGTGGTTATGTTCACTCCAGATTCAAGAGCATACAGCCACTGAAAATATCAGATAAAATGAAGGAATCAAGCACTTGAGCAGGCACAGTTCATGCTGGAAACACCATAACATACATCTTAAGTTTTTACCATCTCTAAGCAAAGTCTTGACATAAGCAGCATTTGGTTATAACTAGGGCTCCGTGTCTTTGGAGGTTGTTATGAAATTTGGAGGGTGTTCTTTGAAGTTTGTTCAAAGAACACCCTTGAGCTTCGGCGTTTATCTTGCATTAAAGATTGTTGCAAAGTGGTATAATTATTGATTATTTCCACTGATGCACTGCATTGTTGCTGTTAATGCTGCTTCTCCATTTTATAATTTTTTTTCTCTCACTCGTTTATTTAACCTGTTAGGAAAGCTGTGTGTGGGTGCACCATAATTGCCAAAGTGCACATCTGGGGAGCAGCAGCTAGACAACCTGCTCTTCAGCTTTTTCTCCCAGCCTCTCTCATCTTCTTGGCGAACAATAAAGGACCTATTATTATTATTATTTTCAAAACTCCATATATCTTAGATGAAATGATATCTGGCCACAGAAATATGTGAAACGTAAACCAGTAAGCATACCTTGGATGTCTGAAATGTTTTACCACACAAACATGTATACACACAAGCACAAATACTTTAGCACAAAACGCCTATGTTTGTATTGAAACCTTAAAGCTTGTGGTAAGAAACACAAGCATACTGCCACTGATGGGGGTGCACTTTTTTCAATCGACGGTTCTCGGCTTTGAAAATGCCTTTCGAATGTTGCGAATGCTCTTTTAAACTCTGACTTTATCGAATAAATCCAAACAGCAAAAAAATTTACCGGCAAATACTGATTGAATGAATTAAAAAAACAGCCCTCTATAACAAAAAGCACAGCATAGATATGCAATGACTAGCAACAAAAGAACATTATGTTCAAAATAATGTGGTTTTTGTAAAGCAAAAAAATGTCAACAGAACTTGTATTTTCAATTTCTGTAGCAGATTCCAAAATATATTGACTTAAAACCATGCATAAGCGCTTTAAAAAATTGATTGTGCCTGCCAAGGCGGTGAATGTTTTTGCACAAATTTGGAACCCCCCCTTGGTAAGATTTCGGCGTGCACACAGTGGACGGGAGAACGGAAGGCTAGGAGACAAACAAAACCCCCAAAATCATAGCTCCACAACTGCGCGACTGGGTGCCGCCATTTTGATCTCGGTGGAAAGAGCACTTCTCCTGGCGCCGCCGCTGCTGCTTGGAGTCGTGGCTAGGCCTTACTCTGCTCAAGGCGCCAATTTGAGAGCCGAATTCAAACTTTGCGGACTAGGAAATCGCACCAACGAACAGGCGAAAGCGAACAAGCTGCAATGTGCTTTGTCACAAGCACTGAATAACATCACCCGCTGGTACGTTGGAACTGCAGTTGAGTATTTTATACATCGGCGGTGGACCACTCGGCCAAGCTTGTCGCGGCCATGCGTCTGCAAATATAAACCCATAATTGCGGCATTCAATACGGTGTGCGGCGTGACCACCCTTACTCCTTACGCGCGTTCCCTCCCCTCCTCGCCTATGCTCTCCTTTTTCTCTCACCTCGCAACACAGACGCAGGCAGTGTCTGCTAGCATGCATCAGCGCTGTCTCGTCTCTTCTATCCCCTCCAGTAGTTTTCACTGTTAAGCACTCTTTAGCCTAAGCTCGTTCCCCCTTTCCTGGCATCCCACCCTGGGGCATTTGCACCCGCATTGCGCACGCGCGTTTCCTCTCTATCTCTCCTCTCCTATGCTCTCCGCCTTGCAAAGCTGACACAGGCAGTGTCTGCTAGTGAGTTTCTTGATTGAAAAACAGACTACTTGCGCTGCACAACCGTTCACTGCCGACCTTGTGTACATAGGCACTGGACCTTGACCTCCATGGTACTGCCGGTGAGAGATTTCTCCCGTGCATTGTTGAACAATCAAAATTCGCAGCGTGCGCATTAACTAAAAGCAGACTGCTGGTCTCCGTGTCCGATCGGTGTCTTTTCTCTCTCATTGTCCATTAACAACGATTGATTGGCATGTTCTAGTAAGAAACACCAGTCTATCACTGTGAGTTTTGCGCCTCCCCAGGTTTCTTCCCTGCGCCACACTGCGATGAGTACCGGCTTCAACGTTGCCGCCAGTGTAAGCATTAGCGCCCGCTGCTTTGCATATACGCATGGTTGCATGTCTATCTCCCTTTGAATCTTCCTTTAGTAGAAGATGGTGTAATTTTTTTTTTCTATATTTGTCAAGGTACAGTCTAGAGTATGACTTTCATGCTTTTTCTTGCCTTTGATAATTAGCTATTTGACGAGTTCCACACAGCCTCAATGCCTGTTGTAAGATTATGTAATAAAAAGGACAACAGAAAAAAATTGTGTTGCAGTGCAAATAAAAGGTATATCAATGCCCTGGCCTCAATCATACATTTTAGAATGTATGGTGCTTTAAACAATTTTTCTACCACGTTTTTTAAGAGAGCCAGACTCGGGCACGACCACAAGGAGTGATATAAAGTACATCAAAAAGTTGTAAAGAATTATTCATAGAATTTCTACAGTAGTATTAGAAAAACCATCTTCAATAAGTGAACCAATTCCTACCAAAATCTATGAAGAAATAAGAAAGTTAGTACCAAAAGCCACTTACCCTTTTAAATACACACTTACCCTTTTAAATACAAAGAAAATGAATAGTATACATAGGTATAATCTTCGATGCTTCATGCCATGGGTACATCGTGGCTCAGCACAATTTATATCTTCTTGATGGTAAAGCTGATTCACAATTAACCAGGTTATTATTCTACCTCTCATAAGATCATAAGATATGACAAATTACTGCAAGTCTGTTACTGCAGAACAAAACAATGTTGACCCATAAACATAGGAGCAGATCAGAAAGTTAGTTTGGCCCCAATGACGTCAGGTTACATGTACTATACTAACCATATCACTGTCATTGTTGACAGCCAATGGTTTCTCACTATTTGGGCTCAATCTCATAATGCCCAAGGCGCCAGCATGTGTACAAAAATAGTGACCAAAGGTAATCCCGGAAACGCCGCCGGCTTGTCCTAGAGGCATGTCCATGAATTCCACCTGCTCCTCCAATGCAAGAAAGCCTGCATAAAAGTAACACTCGTGTCAACTGGAGAAAAAAAAAAAAAAAAAAAAAGAAAGGGAGCTAAACATAAGAAGCAGTAGCTGTTTCGCTTATTGCCCAGTTAAACAATTCGATTTTTCGCCACTCGCAACGGCAGCTGTACCAAAGCATGCGCGCTGTATTTGCTAAATAAAAGAAGAACTGCGTGTTACAAAGGCACATGACGATTCCTTAGCCAACGACATTAAATGTATGTATGATGCTTCTTCACTGAAGGCAAGAGGTTACGTTTGCTTTAAGGTGAGTGGCTTGACAGAGGCACCTCGTCTTACCCCTATCAGGACAAGAAAGAGAATTTTGAAGGCTCGCTTTTTCGTTTGACACAACCCTAATGAAAACCAGGTATCGGGGACGTTAATTGAACAGCTATGAGTGTATAGTAGTAATTCCAATATAGATGTGAAGAAAGTAAAGAGAACGAAAGGACAACTTGCTGCCGGCAGGGCCTAAAACAGTTGCCTCCAGATTCCTTTGATAAAACTGCTGCATGGGGGAAATGGTTAACGACTAAGATAGATAGATAGTGCAAAAAGACAAAATGCTTAAGAAGAAACACAGTCAGTGCTATGTGTATGTTTCTTCTGAAGTGTATTGTCTTTTTGTGCTGTTAAATTTACCTCCAGATTCTGCACCCAATGTTCCTACCAATATAGAGCTATAGCAGTGGTCGTGCCCTCATCCACTTATCGGGTATTTATGTGCATGCGAAACCTGGGAGTCTTGCTCAGCACCACTCCTAGCCATGACTGCTAAAGTAGAATGATTCCAGCCAGATGGGGTCAGGTAGCTCGTGAACCTTTAACAAGTGGATTACAGACCAACCAGTTCTTGGATATTAAAACAAGGTAGTCAAAAAAAAAAAAAAAAAAAAACTGGACAGAAGTCCTAACACCCAAGGATGAAAAACGGAGTGTGCATATGGGGGGGGGGGGGGGGGGGGGGCAATGAAACGTGCATGTACAAAGCACTGGCGAGAGAACACGTTGCAAGGACAGTGTCATATATGTGTCCTTCTTGAATTCTCTCATCTCGAAATGTGTTTTTTTTTCACACTCGGTATCGACCAACCAGCCCACCTATTATCGGTGTTCTAAAAGCTGGTTTGCCAAAAACTGCACTGTGGCCGTTAGAGACAATGTTGCTAAATCTTCTAAATGGGGCGCAGAGCCAATTTCACACATTTATTCTCAAGCATACGCCGCATGAAGTGGAAAATATAAATCCATAACAAAAGGTAAAGAAACAAGAAAAGAGAGAAAACGCTGTTTCCTTTCCTCATTTCTTCACCCTGTGTTTTGTCATTACCATTCTGCACAGCATGAACAAGAACGCTCTAAAACATGTTTTCATAACCTTCATTAGATGAGTAAACTGATCTCAAACCATTGATGGTTCTGGCTAGTGTCACCGTATAAATTCCTGAAATGGGTCTCGCCAGATATAATTTACAGTTGTCCGGTGAAAGGAAATGTGGCAGTTATGAAAATTCTAACAGCAAGAGAATCTAGCATTACTCACCTTGCCGCAAGTGTTCCCTTGATTCCATATCCACCTTGAAGCTCTTTCCGACCATACATATAAATGCTGCAAGAAATACCGCTAGTTAAAATTGCACGCCAAGCAAAGCAGCAATGTGCTTCTTTAAAGAGCCCAGTTAATCGTGCAAGTTAAAGGATACAGCGAAACACTCAACCTAAATAAATAGTAAGTGAACAAGTTCTACGCATTGTGCCGTCAGGCAAAGGGGCAAGATTTTGATCTGAATGTATTATTGAAATGTGGATACAGTTTAAATGTAGCAAAAAGTAATGCTCAGTGAAGTGGTTACTGAATCACTGCTGCTGATGAGTATAGCAGTCACGAGATTTTGTAACGAAATGACAGATGACGACTATACTTGTCATGCTTTTTGACGCCGCATGGCTGCACTTCTCCATGTTGGGCCATTTGTGCCGCTGCTTTCAGTTTATTGCCATTTTCCATTGTATTGCCATTTTGCATTTTCCAGTGAAGCCCCCTTCGTATCTTTACTTATGCGATTAGTGAAATAAGGGCACCCTGCTAAATTGAAAGAATGGTACAGTTTTATCAAGAAACAAAACAAAGCAAGTCAATAAACTGAGCAAAAAAATTCAAAAAAAATTTTTTTGTGATAGTTGTGACACGTTTTTCTTGTATTCTCATGGTAGCATAAGGGTACAGAATGGTACTGTATATACCTGCTGCATATAAAGTGCCATTCAATACAGTAACAGTGCAGGCAGCATTGCTCCTTCATGATTACCTTTATCATCTGTACAGACAACAGAAAAATTAATTAGCAAACATTAGGTACACTTGTAAAATTAACAGACTAAAAAAGTTAAGGCCATGAGACTTCTCATACAAAAGCAGAATGACAGGTTACCCCAATCCTGTGTTCAGCTAAATGCTGGAGGTGAGTATTGTGGTCCTGTGCAGGGCAATACTTCCAGTTTCGTTGTTGCTTTTCGCATTTCGCTTCACTGCATTCTTTCAGCTGTGGCACACTGAATGAAAAATTATACTCACGGGCCATGCTCACAAGCATAGGTCCAAGTGATTGATTGATTGATATGTAGGGTTTAACGTGCCAAAACCACTATATGATTATGAAAGACACTGCAGTGGAGGACTTCGGAAATTTCAACCACCTGGGGCTCTTTAATGTGCGCCCAAGTCTGAGCTCACGGGCCTACAACACTTCCGCCTACATCGAAAATGCAGCCGGCGGAGCCGGGATTCGATCCCGCGACCTGCGGGTCAGCAGCCGAGTACCTTAGCCACTAGACCACCACGGCGGGGCATACGTCCAAGTGAGCTCGCATCTCTGAATCCAAGTGAGGTCTAATCAAAAAGAAGAGCGCATCTTATTTTGCAGGCCCTGATGTCCATTGATTGGTTAGCTGTAAAATTGTGAGCAAGTGCCCCCCATAGAGCGAAAGATAATAGGACAAGATTTGAAGGCGGTGGAGGGGGGGGGGATCTTACTTGGTCGGGGACCAAAATTCACGATGGTGGCCGGAGAGCCTCTAAGAAGAACACACACCCGTGCTTCTAGTGAAATGCATTATATTCAATACGTAGCATTTACTGAATTGGAAAGAACACTCGTGCGAACTATCGTTTGTAAATAAAAGAAGGGAAAGACGTTCTTCAAATGTTCCAACAACTCTGAATGCAACCCTGGGGCACTACACAAACCATTTGTCTCCCAGTGTCCACATATGTGAAAAGATTAGTGAATTTGAATCAGGCTAGCCAAAACACATTCCCTTAAAAATCTATTTGAATTGTTGGCATTACTTCAGCGTTTCTTAAAGACAACATTACGTCTATTTCTGCAAACAAACAGCGCATAGAACAACTGCGTAGTTTTCAAATCACCTGTATGCCTACATTTTTTTTTTTGGCAAGTTCACTCTGAATTTGTAAATGTTTTCAAATTACTCCACGTTATTCAAAAGAAGGAACGGTCTAGCTTGTTTTTGTGCAAGTTCTGTTGCACTGCAAGCGAGCAGAAGTTAACAAGTTGAGGCGTTGCTGCAGCATCCACGTTTCTGGATGCCATGCATACCGAGTTCGCAAGAAGCCAATAGAACACTGAATAGTAGTGGACTCCCTTTGCTGTCATGTGGCTCTGCACAAAACCCTATCTGTAATATAGCTAAATGTACCTGTCAGAAGTCAAGTTTAAAATTTGTTTGCTTCATTTGCAAAGTGGATTAAGTGGTGAAGACATACATGCCACATTTGTAAATGTTTTCAAATTACTCCACGTTATTCAAAAGAAGGAACGGTCTAGCTTGTTTTTGTGCAAGTTCTGTTGCACTGCAAGCGAGCAGAAGTTAACAAGTTGAGGCGTTGCTGCAGCATCCACGTTTCTGGATGCCATGCATACCGAGTTCGCAAGAAGCCAATAGAACACTGAATAGTAGTGGACTCCCTTTGCTGTCATGTGGCTCTGCACAAAACCCTATCTGTAATATAGCTAAATGTACCTGTCAGAAGTCAAGTTTAAAATTTGTTTGCTTCATTTGCAAAGTGGATTAAGTGGTGAAGACATACATGCCACAATTTTTTGGCTGATTAGAGCAAGTCAATCGTCAGGGTTGGAGGTCAATGATAACTGGCGCATTGGAGCAGAACCACCGACATGCAAAGGCCTCTTCAACAGTGCTACAGTCGAAGATGAAAGCATTCAGCTTGAGCGCAACCATGAAAAAGCTGGAAATGATCGATGACAATAAGGATGAAGAACACGTTGAAGTAGAGCTGTGGGCAAGCAAAAGAGCCTTGTTTGGCAATAATGATGGTGATGATGTAAAAGTTGAATGACAGCAGTTAGAAAGTGGCAACCTGGATTTGTGATGATGATAATATTAATGAACACGAGCTGATGATAAAGCTGATTATGATAACCAGTGATGGATTATAATAGTTAATGCGTTAAAACGGAGCTGCTGGCAGTACCCATGACCAAGGATGATGGATCTAGTGTAACTGGTGCTTCTAGAATTCACACCTGGACGCTTGTTTTTTTGTAGTGCAAAAGCTAAATGTTTCATGTTTTCTGTTTATTCCGACCTTTGTATGTATAGTTATTTTATATATGCAAAAAATATTTACGAGCGCAACTGTATTGTCTGTGGTATACAAAGGGCTAAAGTACTAAGGAATTTTGCGCACGTCTCAAGACTCTGAGAACATGGGTTCCTGAGAAACACTGCTACAGGAGTCTATAGAAATGAAAAATGAACAGGTAGCCCCCCCCCCCCCCCCCCCCCCCCAAAAAAAGAAAAAAATTGGTGCGAGGGGAAGGACTGTCATTGGCACATATGTCAAACCTTCTTAACAGGAGAACGGGGAGCTTGCTCAGGTAGGGGTGCTCACTCGGCATTTTACGACATGCATGGGACATGTTCTTTTGTAATGCCAGAAGCTGGCAAAGAGCCCTTTAGAAAGCGCAGCGTGGTACAAAAGAATATGTGGGAGGGTGCTATAAAAGAATGAATGGAACTCTGAACCAGGCAGTAATAGGTACTGAGCACTTTAATTGCAAGCTGGATAATTTGAAGGAAGTCAAGCCACACATGGCCCATACAAAATTCAGAAAATTTACTTAACACAACATCGCTTCACCTGCAAGGCCGATCCAGGGAAAGGCACGCAAGGTGACAGCATTATGACAAAAAATGCACGTGCATTAACCGTGAAATGCCAAGCAAGCCCCCGTCCCTCCTATGCCGTAGGACATTCCGACCAGATCAGGGAGGAGGGCGCTTTCTCGGTCCCAGACCGGTCACTGGTGCATAATTTGCGCTTATTTCAGATCTCCCAAAAAAGGGAGGTGGCGCTTGCTCAGGTGGGGCGCTTGCTCAGCATTTAATGTACATACTTGTCAGTTTGAGCATGCAATTAAACGGAACGCCTTTTCTGGCAGCATTTATTCCTTTATTTAAGTCATTAAATTCCTTCAAAAGAGAAATCTAGAACAGGCAAAGGACAACCTTACCTTTGTGCAAGCAATCTCTTTCTATGAACTTAATCATTTTGCAATGCATGGACCGCGTCACATTCGTCCATTATATGCCTCAGTGATGCTGCATTTCAACTCTCTTTAAAGGGAGACGCAATTCGAAAAAAAAAAAAAAAGTTCAGTTAATCTGAAGCTTAGGGCAATAAAGTTTTTGCTTTACATATAGGCTTTCATGTTGATTTCAAATACGTGTAATTAGTTTTACAGTAAGTTGCACAGTTTGCGTTTTATGCCTTGACAATGTGTAAAGTGTAGTAGTTTGTTTTGGACAAACTTTTCATGCCACTGTTCAACTTTCATGGTTCTGAGCGATTATTGGCTCATATTCGTTTCCATTAACTGTAGAATTCGAATAACTATCGAGAGAGAGCGTATAAGACATTTTAATAGACAAGAAAACTTGTAATGTGAGAATCCTCAGCTTCATAGAATCCTCAGCTCATACTAACGACTTACATTGGTTGATTGTAATTATACAAGCAATATTAAGGGGAGATGAGGGTCGAAAAACTGGAGTTTTTTTCAAAATTACCGATTTTTTATTTTCACCTGTTTTGATAAGATTAGTACCTCTACTGTTATGAAAAAAATAATGCAGGTCTAGCCTTAATTGGAAATGCTTTAAAATTGCATCTAAAGAGCACAAGGTGCCTGTTAAAAGGTCGAAAGTGTGGAGTCTTCGAGCACCTTGCCGCCGATAATGCGCCACCGCTCGCCATTGTTGGTCGCATGAGTTGAAGAGTCGAGATTCACTCTTCAAAAAACAACAGTTTCTCAAGCTGATGCAGCGCAAGGAATAATAAAAAGAAGCACTCTTCTGTGCGTTTTTCGAGCGCCGGGACTGGCTTATCACATGGTACGAATCGGGGACCGCCATTGGCTGCTGCGTGCCTATATGTGCTGTGAAACCTACTTGCGGGGTCCATGTCTTGTCGAGCAGCGCAGCTAAACAATGCTTTTCTGGTGTAATTATCTCCGTTATGAATGGAAAAAGGCACTGCTCGCAAGTGAAAGCCGTTGTGCGGCGCGCTCTCTAGGAATAGGCTACGAGCAGCTGGTCCGATTTGCAGCAGTTGTTGGCTTGCAAAAGCCAGTGCATCAAAAGTCACTCGCACCCATCAGCCGGAAATTTCGTCATGCGGCAATGGATCAATGGATGTCGTCAGTGCCAATCTTGAGAGGTCGAAAGAGCTCGCAGTGAGAAAACTTAGCAGGGACGATATTGCCATTATGTACGACGGTATGTGGCACAATCATGGCTGCAAAATGGCATGACACTGGACTTAGTTTGGATTTCGCAGTCCTGTCGAACTTCTTCCTAGCTTGCAGTTGGCACAAGGCTCTGCCAGATGGAGCGGAAGTTTGGCAAGCGTTTCATGGCCCTGTCTGTGAGCGAAATGTCTGTGAGGAGTCTGCTCAAAAACACCGAGAGGGACAAACTCACGGTGCTGGCGTATTTTAGTTGCAGTGGCCACTACAAGAAGGATTGTTCTTTTTGGTGTGCAAATTTCATCTGATTTAATAATATCTTTCATAAATAAAAGCTCAATTTTAACTTTAAAACTGTTTTTCTCAAAACACAAAATTTGCCATTTTTTCCAATGTGCCCCTCCTTTTTAGAGCACTTCTAGTGCTCGGATCTGCATGAAATTGTGCCCAAATTTTTTCCAAAGTATGACAAATGCAATTATCTAGTTTAAGTTTCAGTATGTTATTGTATAATAAAAAAATTTATGTATACCTTTATTAGGATAGGTGAAATATGGACTTTTTACGTGTATTATTTCTCACACATATTACATATTTTGTATGTGCTTTCTAATTAGTTATTTGCACTCAACACTTTATTTGAAGCATTATGAGCAATGAGTGCTAAAAAATTACAGAAGTTTAGGGATGAAAAGAGGGGGGGAAAAAGGCTTAGGGTTTTCACTTTGTCATGTTGCAGAGCTAAAAGTGTGTAACTTAGAAGAAAATTAATTATATATTTGAAATCAGCATAAAAAGTTCCATAAACAGCTGAAGTTTCATTGCTCTAATGCGGATATTAAAAAAAAGTGTTTTCGAGTAGCATCTCCATTTAAATTTTAAAGAACATACTTGAACCATTCACATGTCGAAGAATTTGTGAGTGAAATTTCATCCTGATCTGGTTATTATAAGTACCAAAAACACGATGTCCTATGTCAAGAAGTTGCCCAAAAATGAACCTTGACAACAGCGCATTTTAAAGGTATAAGTGGAAGCTCATCTTCGGAAAATATATGTTGCTTAAGATGATTTCTTCCATCATGAAAGCTTGGCAATTATGGTTGTTTTGACAATGTAGCTTTAGTAAACTCCTCATGCAAAATGCAATGACAAGTAGCCAGGTGACAACTTCCACGTGAATCTGGACAATGAGCTCTTCAGTTTTTAGCAGCCACTTGGTGCTCTTTGAAAGTTATTTTAACTTACCTCGTCTTAAATTACAATCTTCAGTTTTTAAACTGAACGAAACCAAAAAAGAAATAAAAACAACAAAAAATGCAACTCTAGAAAAAAATGCGTCTTTCGATTCTCATCTCCCCTTGAAATCGCCTTTTTGCATTACATTTAAATTAACATATATAAGCAAACAAAGTTCACATAAAACTTACATGTCTGTGCAACAGCATCCTTTGTTTCATGTTGGACACCTGAAACAAAAGGATCCGTAAAGTAAGATTTACAGCTTGCATATGTATAAAGCAGATCAATCGTATTGCAGTTAGGTAAAACATTTATCAATACACAGTTTACTTGTTTGTACAACAGAAGTCTCATCTTTAAGAAGAACACCTTAAACAAGAAGCAAACATGAGATAAGAATTATGTTGCATCAACTCATTTAAATACATCCATATACTATAGTTATGTTAAAATTTAAAGAAAGAAAATCATAAACAAATATAACTTACTTGTCTGTGCAGTGGAATCTTTCGTTTCTGAAAGAAAAAAATATATTAAACACGAAATAAGCATTACTAGTATCGCATCAATGCCTCCAAGCGCACCTCTCATTTATGCATTTATATATACATAAAAATCAATCAACATACAGCTAACTTGACTGTTAAAAGGCATTCTTGGCTTTATGTTGCACACCTGAAGCAACAACTATGAACAATGTTTTCCCACAGACTGCTGAAGAGATAAACAACAGTTCCAGTCCTTTGTCTTGTGGAGAATAGCTGCAAGGGTCATTTATATGACGGCTTCCAAAGTACTAGTTAAACTTGTGTAACGGTATAGCTTTGTCCATTTTAACCTATCTTATGGTCTATAAATTTGCGAGGCATTGTGTGATATCAATAACTGATGCTACTAAATTAAGCTGCTACGGTTGAAAAGTGCACTGAAGAGCAGAGCTTGATCATTTTAACCCCACCAAAAACATTAGAATAACTTACCAGAAATATTTTCACCGAACTTGATTTGTAGATTTTTTTTGTCTCTGAATAAAAATGAAACTTCTTTATTGCAGTAAGGTTTCTTTGTTTAAATAATTACATAAAAAAAGATAACTTGAAGATTGCTTCACTGCTTGGCAATAAAATTAAAGCAGACTCAAGTGACACAACATGAAAAAGTACGGCTATTCATAACCGAGAAAAAAAAGTACGGTAAGTGTAGTTGTTATTGGCTCCATGTGGGGAAAATTTTTGTTATTGGCAGGTATTGTCATAGGACATTCTGGCAAAAAATTTTGCGACGGCTGTACTCGTCAGCGGGAGAGATAGGGCGAGGCATATTGCAGTCGAAGAAACATACTGGGAAGATTTCCTGAGACACCCAAAAGCATTGCATTGCTCAAATACCAAATTAACGAAAAATTTGAAAAGTTCGTGTAGTAGACGCACCGTAAGCAGACAATCAAGCCACAGCACCAGCAATCTCTGTTGCAAACTAACACAAGTGTTAATGTTATTTGCATAATAAAACATTCACATAATGGCAGCTTAAAACTTTCACTGCCATTATCCATCAGTTCAAGAAATCTGGCTATGAAAATTGGTAGGAGCCTTTACACCTCGTTTGCCGAAAATTTATTATACTATATGAAAAATCCCACATATGTCACCTCTGCGTTTCAAGTTTTTTTTCTCAGAATATCTGCAACAACTACAAGGTTTTTGTAGTTGTAGTTCATCATTTTGTAAAAAGCCACTAAGGTTTCTGAAGGTAACAGGAAGACATTTGTGAAGGTTGGAGGAACTCGACACAGTGGTTGTCCTGTGCAAGTGTATGCGCGGGTTCTGAACTTTGCACTAATTGGATCAATCCTTTCGCTGTCAGTCCAGAGCTTACTCAGGCAATGACATACGCAGAAGCCCTGCTAATCCCGAGTATACTTGGTTTGCCTCTCTATAGCGATGCCCACCACTTGCCAGACCACTCTTCCAAAAAAAAAAAAAAAAAGGAAATTTTTGAAAAGTGCGGGTGTGTCCCTCGTACACGGAGAGAACATACAAAGGGATATAACTCACGAAATTTTTCACAACAAAGGGACAGTGTGGTTGCACATCAGCGCCTGCTCGTGTCTCTGTGCTAGTGTCTCAACTGTGCAGCCGTGGTGAGTCAGTGCGCCACATGTGCACACGATCAGAAGGAAGCATTAAGGTGCTCTATACTAATTCAGACTCTAAATAAAATGGATAATTGGTCCCTCAGTGACTTTGAATTATTTGGTATTTGTGCGAATAGTGAATTTTAGCTTGAAAGTGAACAGGAATCTGGCTCGAATAATTTCAAATCGAATTCGAAGAGTATACGTCACGTATTATAAAGAAAAATGAGTATATTTGTCGTGAGCTAACAAATATTATGTTCTCTCCAAGGCGTGTCCAAATGTTATACTTTTTATTTCACAAGCAACGGAAGCAACTTTGAATAGCAGCAGGATGTTACTTTCAGTAAAATGCAAATGATAACCTGTAACATATGTCATGTTTTGAAATTCACTATACCTAGCGGTATAACAAACTTTGTAAACTTAAAGGAAGAATAAGTTTGAGAATAATATGTTCACCAAACCTTGAAATAAAGCTTCGCAGCAGTGCAGCTTTTCTCTGAATAGGTGTATTCACAGTAGAGCACCATTCTACTGCAGTGAAAGCACTTTTGCAAGGGGTTACATGCAGAATAATACACAAATTTTTGTTAATTGCGAATACATTGAAACTTAGTACTAATTTATTTCTAATCAAAGTGAATTAGGACACGTTAATGTTTGTTCATCCCACATCTGGTGACCCGGAATTCGAACTAACCGCACCACTATGGCCGAGCAAGAAGCCCTCATCGCTCTTCGCCAACAAGTGCAACAACTGCAAGAGCAACTACAGGCCCACCAACAGCTGCGTTTGGACCACGCTCCACAAAGCCCAGCTCCAGCGGGCACCACCACTGCTGCAGCCACTACAGACACGGACGTATGTCATGTCATCGTCGAGCTCCCGCCGTTTTCGGTGGAGGCGCCCGACGTATGGTTCATCCAAGTCGAGGCCCAGTTTTCTCTGGCACGCATCACGCAGGACCAAACCTGTCATAATTACATCGGCGCCCACTTGGACGCTCAATTCGCCAACAAGGTCCGCGATATGCTCATCAATCCACCATAGTCCAACCAATACGGATCAACAGAAGTTGCGACAACTTCAGTCGGCCAAGCTTGCCGAACGCAAACCTTCACAGTTGCTCCGCCACAATGCGTGCTCTCACGGGCAGCATGGAAGTCCCAGATTCCTTGCTGAAAGTGATTTGGCTTCAACAACTTCCAACACATGTCCAAGCAATTTTAGAGGCTCGGCCCATGTTTCCTCTCAATGACCTTGCCAAGATCGTTGACTGCATCATCGAGATCTCCGTGTTGCAGTCATTCCCACCATCCAGGCTGTCGCCGCACCACTCAATACCACAGAGCTTGCGTGCCGCATTGACAACATCGACCAACAACTCGGCTACATTGAGCAACGGGTCAGAGATACTAATCACAAAGCAGTGACTGTGACACCGCCTCGTTACAGCAGCCTGTTGAGCACGGTCGGTGCTACTACCAACGGCACTTCGGTGACAGGGCCCGGCAATGTCGACCACCCTGCTCCACCAACAAGAAGCACCAACCGCAGCTGGTGGAGACGACCGCAAGCTGCCAACCTGGAGGCCGCTGCATCTTCGTCACCAACCAAGCCACAAGACAGCTGTTCCTTATCGATAGTGGTTCCGACATCTGCTGCTACCCGCGGTCCCACCTTCAAGGTTCTCTTCCACCAACATCTTTCGAGCTTAGCGGGGCTAACCGGTTCACAATCAAGACATACATTTCACAACCGTCATACCACTCATCGCGCATTGATCATCAGCATAAGGTTGCCATTCCGTTTTGCCGCACCAAATTCTTTTCAGCAGCCTTCTTACCGAAAACAGCCGCCGATTGGAACCACCTTCCCTCTTCCGTTGTATCAATAACAGACCCTTTGTTATTCAAGACTGCAATTTCTCAGCAATGCTTGTAACTATACGCAGTTTCCATTATCTATCTTTGTCTTGTATGTGCTTGAATTCTTATACATTTTTAGTTGACTTATGTTGCCTTCCTGATTTGCGCATCTGATACTTGTTTCTTTATTTTGTCTTTTTTTCTTGTGTGTTATATATGTTGTACCCACCCCCTCTGTAATGCCCTACGGGCCCTGAGGGTATTCTAATAAATAAATAAATAAATACGGCTCGTCGCGACTGCACGTCCAGCTCAAGAACATACGGTGCAACCTTCACTGAAACTTTGTCATCGCTGACGTCGTCGAGTCAACCATCGGCTCAGACTTTCTGGCTCACTATAACCTTCTTCCGGACTGCCGCAACGACCGGCTAATTGAAGCGACAACAGGACACTTTACACCAGGCCAGCGATCAACCACCCGACAGCCAAGCATCAAAGTCCTCAGTTTCGACAATCACTCACCGTAACATGCCATCCTCGCCAAGTTTCCCGGCTTGACACGCACCAGCAGACTGCCACGCAAAGTGCAGCACACCGCCATGCTCTACATCCGGACCACTCTAGGCCCCCCGGTTTTCTGCCGCACCCGTCGCCTTGCCCCAGAGCGCATGCACAGAGCCAAGGCAGACTTTGAGGCCATGCTCCGAGAAGGCATCGCCCGTTGCTTCGACGGTCCATGGGCCTCGCCACTTCACCTCGTACCGAAGAAGACCGCTTGCTGGCGACCATGTGGGGACTACCGCGCCCTCAACGTGCGCACCATCCCGGACAGGTGCCCCGTCCCCCGCATTCACGGCTGTCTTGTCTTCTCCGTGCTGGACTTGGTGAAGGTTTACACGTTATTACCAGTCAATCAGGACGTCCCGAAAACTGCAATAATCACCTGGTTTGGCTTGTTCGAGTTTCCCTTCATGAGCTTTGGGCTAAAAAACACAGGGCAAAGCTTTCAGCGCTTCACCGACGAAGTCGTTCGTGACCTTGACTTCTGCTTCGTCTATCTTAAGGATATATTGGCCTTTTCACGTGGCGCTGAAGAAAATCACGGGCACCTTCGTCTCTCGCTCTAATGCCTTAACGACCACGGCCTGCTCTTCAACGTCCAGAAGAGCACACTCGGTGCTTCCACCGTTGATTTTCTCGGCCACAAAGTTTCATCACAGGGAACTTGACCCTTGCCTGAACGCATCTCTGACTTGCAGAAATACTCCAACCCTCCTCTGCTAAAAAACCTTTGCCGTTTTCTTGGCATGCTGAACTTCTATAGGCGTTTATTACCACACGCCGCTGACTACCAGGTGCCCCTTCATGATGTCTTGGCTGGTCTACGAAGAAACCAACCCGTCACATGAACACAGACTTTGGTTCAAACTTTCGAGGAATGCAAGGCTGCACTCTGCACCGCCACACTCCTCTCCCATCCCGTGCCTGACGCTCCCTTAGGACACTTCACGGACACCTTTGCTTTCAACGTCGGCGCCCTCTCATGCAACGCGTGGACAACACCTGGCCCCCCTTGGCATTCTTCTGGAAACTCTCGGCTTTGAAAGTCACCCCTTCAGTGGCCAGTTCCACCGACGAAACAACGACCACTGCACCTACAAGTTCGCCAGCTTACTATAGAGAACTTCTAGCGATATACGAAGCAGTTCAGCACTTTCGCCCCGTTCTCAAAGTGCAACACTGCCCCATCTATACCGACCACAAGCATCTAACCTACGCCTTCTCTCGACGCCGCGACAAACTCCCGCCTGTTCAGCAGAACCAACTCTCGTTTATTGCACAGTTCACCACCAACATCCAACATATCAGCGGGAAAGACAACGTGGTCCCCAACGCGCTTTCATGTGTGACCACCATCAGCTCGGTGCAAATAACAGCAGACATCTTCTCCGAGGCCCAGACCACGAACGCAGAGCTGCAGGAACTTCTCAAGGGCATGTCCTCACTTCAGCTAAAAGAAGTCCCCATTCCAGGATCGGGAAGAACAATCAGCTGGGACATGTCGACAGGACGAAGCAGGCCCTATGTGCCCCTATGCCATTGCTGAGGTCTTTTCAACCAGCTCCACAACCTCAGCCATCCCAGCATATGTGCCTCTACATGCCTTGTGACTAACCACCCTGTCCCGTTGGCTGCGCACATATGGAGGGTGTGCACATAAATGCCCTTCACAGATTTTCCAGCAGGCCTCCGCTGCTAGACTGCACAAATTGTACATATTGTGACCAACTACTATGCCTGGTTTTCCATGCAGCGGGATTGTCGCGCGTCGGCGTGCTCCTGCATTCACTGCCAACGCGCTAAAGTCACCAGGCACGTCACGTCCAAACTCGGAGCATTCCCTCAGCCCTCTGGTCGTTTCAAGCACGTTCACCTAGACATCATAGGACCCTTTTCCCCGGCTGTACACTATCGCTACTGCCTCACCACCATCGACCGGTACACTCGATTGCCTGAGGCATGGCCACTCGAGGGAATCATCATGGAATCTATCGCCTCGGCTTTCTTCACTGGCTGGATTGCTCATTTCGACGCCCCCCGCTGTGCAACCACTGACCAAGGATGCCAGTTTGATTCGCACCTCTTCAGGCTTCTCAGACTGACTATCGGTTTTGAATGCTTGAGGACCACCAGTTACCACCTCTGCGCCAACGGAATGATCAAGCCTTTTTACCGACAGTTCAAGGCAGCCATTATGTGCCATCCGGCATCAACCTGGCTCGAGGCCATATCGGCTGTCATTCTCGGTCTTCGCACCACCTTCAAGCCGGATATCCTAGCTACGCCAGCAGAGCTCGTCTACGGAGAACCACTTCGTCTCCCAGGCGAATTTCTCGCAGCTCTGCCATCCAGCACTACGACGTCAGACTCCACTGACTTCGCTGCTTGGCTCCGACGCACAATCGCTGCTTTACGCCCATTGTCTGCTGCCCACCACAGCAAGCCTACAAGTTCGCCAGCTTAGATGTGGGATGCGAAGTGGGTGAAGGACGGATCCGAACATAAAACGAAACGATGTTTATTAACGTAGTGGCTACAGCAGGGCAAGCATGCCAATGCTGCGCTTCAGATGGTTAGAGAAACAAACATGAAACCAAGCTTGGTAGCTTGTGTGAGCATCCGATGAAAGAGTGGTGGCGCTGTCTGTTACCGGACAGGCGCGTTTCGGCAAGTAGCCGTGTCACGCTGGGCTTATCAGTGGCGAGACGGAGGCTGCGCAGGACTGTGCACAGTGGTCGCCATAAGAGTATTCAATACTGCAGAGGGCTTTTCCTATAGTATCATGCAGTGTATAATGTTTTTGACTGTAGCCACTTCTACCAGCCACATGGTTGAACACTATAAATTTCACAAAAAACATTTGCTCTCACCTTTAAGTGGTTTGGAGGGCTCCTTGCTGTGCCTGTCAAGCACAGGCAGCTCAGAGATCTCGTGACTCTGACGAATAGTTGAAGCAGCCTTTGTGGACTTGGCCGCTGCAGTACATACGAGCGCGTCCTGCTTTTGCCTCCACAAAGACCCAATCCACGCATCTTCATCCTTCTCTCCACCAATCTTGTTTGAAAGCTCAGTTCTAGCTTCAGGCAGTTTGGGTAGAGTTCCCTCTTTATCAAACTTTAGTGCTGACATCAGACCTTCACCACACCGTGTGGTTTTACTCGAATACCTCCCTGGACTCAGCCAGAAATTGCTCCTGGGCTTGAAAGTTTCAATAGGAGAGTCGCGGACGGATGAGGTTTTTGACATACAGGACTCGCTCCTCTGTGTCTCACAAGGACGCTCTGCAGCTCTGAGACTTTTTACAGTTTCCCGCCACGCAGGTCTCTCTTTTCCCACCTCTGCAAGAACTGCATCGTGCCGAGATTTCTTGAGACGTTTCGCAGCTCTCGCACCCTTCTTGCGCAAACCAATTCTGTACTTCAATGTTCCCGTTCCATTAAACACGACTCTATCTGCTGGCCCAGCGTTCTTGTCAGTTTCGGAACGTTGAGGGTTTAGTGGTATCGGCGCAGACCAGAAGCTTTTCTTTTCAACAGCTGCTCCTTCACAGTGAGCACCGTGGCTGCCAAACCTTGCCTCAGTGGCCTTTACAAGCGGGCTCGTACTGGGTGAGCGATAGGCCTGCAAGAGTTTTGAGCTACTTGGTGCAGCGGGCAGTCTCGACCAGGCCCACGGGTTGTTTCCCTTCATAATCTCGGGAAACACTTCTTTCATGAAACGCTTATATTTTGCATTCTGAGAGCGAGCAGACTTGTTGTGGGCATGCTTTTCGGCACGGCTACGCGGTTCCGGTGATTTCCTCGGACCTGTGGAGGTCCAGAGGTCGCGAGAGATCAGTGGCGGCAGCCCAAGTCCTTCGTCATTCTCTGAGCAGGTTGAGGAGCTGGAACTCCGTGATGAAAGGTGCTTCCTCTTGAGCTGGCTCCTACTGTCGTCTTTGGCAGCTGAACTATCAACAGTCTGCAAGCATTGCTCAGGCTCGTCTGCTTGAGCTCTTGATTCTTGTACGCGAGTTTCAGGTCATAACTGTCGAGCTGTGCAAAAAAAAAAAAAAAAAATTGGAGGAAAACAGCATGAATTATGAAGTTTTTTTCTATGGACTATCCTTCATATGAGTGGAACTACTACTTTATGTCAGCAAGTTATTTTTTCACACACACACATGCACGCCATACGCCAGCACACACACACGCACACACAGTTGTTATGTTCTAGTAACAGTGCGACAACTTCAGGAAGAAACAAAAAGGACAGGAAAGAGTGCTGACTGTCAACTGCATTTTATTGAAGGTGCTACGAGCGCTTTTATACAGAGTACAAAAAACAGTACTCATGCGCGACGATACATGTGTGACCACGATAATATAATCTTAACTGAGAAAAGAATACTCTCTTCCGGAAGGAATAAGTGAGGGTGTACTGATGCATTGATCCTTGGCATTCCTGATAAAGAATGCTGCTAAAATCTCTCTTTCGTTTTTTGTTCTTTCTTTTTCAAAAAACCCTGCTTTATGAAACCTAGGAGTGCACTTACATTCTTTACAGGGTACGGCCATGAGACTACCATAGCCATTCTTAGCATTTAACGCATGCTGTCTTGATCAATCATTGAAGCATTGCCTCGTTTGTGCTATGTTTATTTTTCCACATGTCAACGATGTCTCATACACATTAGATTAGCATTCAGTAAACTGAATTAATTATAAACTGTATACTGTTGCTTATAAACAGTAAACTTAATTATATGATCATGGTCACACATGTATCGTCGCGCATGGGCACTGTTTTTTGTACTTTGTATAAAAGCAGTCCTAGCACCTTCAATAAATTCCGTTGACAGTCAGCGCTCTTGCCTGTTCTTTTTGTCTCTTCCTGAAGTTGTCGCGCTGTTACTAGAACACAACCACGATGAGCCAACTCGCCCAAATTAAGCTCTTGTTGTTACACACACAGTATATTGCATAAGGTAGGCTTAGTAAAAAAGATAATAAAAATTAAGATGGGGCGGGACTTCATTAGGTTGAAAAATCAGGTTTTAAAACTTCACAAGCGTCTGAAAGATTACTGCTGAACCCTTTTATAAGAAGCACTGATATAAGAGACAAATGGATATAAAAGACACGAGCGTAACCCCAGTAAAATACGGGTTGATAAGCAAATGCATACGGAATATTCTGCTTACAAGAGACATCCCGTATAAAAGACAAGAAGGGCTGCCCGGAGCATGCCTCTTATGTAAAGAGGTTTAATTGTATTTACCTTTCACAAAATTTACACTTGTTTACTCACTGTTTCAAAAATGACTCTTTTGGACTTTTTTCTTTGACAAGTTCACAGGCAATGTGGGCGAACTTCTGCATTTCTCTCAATCGACCCAGTGGTGGCAAGATACCCATTGCGCGTATCTGCACTTCCTCTTCCAAAGACCGTTGAAAAACTCACTACGGTAAGAGACTTTGACGCGTGTAGTAAAGTGAGGAGATATGGTGTGGCTCTGGATTTTATACCGCAAGCAAGGCTTGTACCGAAAGTTCCCGGCTCGCTGCACAGGTCGCTTCATGGCTTTGTCGCGCCCTAGCGACATTACATACTGTAGTAAGAGTGTTACCCACAGCCAAAAGTGAAAGCAGAACTGAAGAAGACAAAGGTGTACATGAGGGTGACGATCGTGAAGTGCACGAGCTTCAGAACACTGACAGTTAAAGCCAGTGTAGTCAACAACCTGAAGAGCGCAAGACGTTTGGCCTGAGGGACCAAACGAACTGAGTTAGTGCCACCAGACCAGTCGGGACGAGCTTGGCAGTTCCCTGCAGTACAAGTGTTCCAGCCTAGTCTTGCGGGCTCTTCAGCGTGCGGGTCAGGGTGAGCTACTGATCTCATGCCAAGTTGTATGTGTGAAGCAACTACCGAAGCCGTGACCATGGTGCTGAGCCGGCTCGAGTGCGGTACCACGAAATGTTGAGGGCGTGGCTTCAGTGCCGCTTCAGGCGCATTGTTTCTAATGCATTCCCGAAGAAACAGTTCCTGATCTGCTCGTGGCCTCGTGAGCGATTCATCGTGTCGTCCTCTGGTTCGAGCTTCTGTGTCCTTCATCGATACTGTAATTGACGTGCTACGGACCTCATAGTAACTGCCGTATCCAATAGTTAGGACACAGCAGTTACTTGTGTGAGTGTAGGTAAACACTGCTGGCACTAGGCTTTGCTAAGGACACTGACTAATGTTGGCCATTGTAAATGTATGTAACCGTTTACATGTATTATCGATAAATGTTTTCTTGTCCATGACAAGGTTGTTTGTCTCTGAGGGCCCTAGAGCTACTACACATAAGGCCATACTACAGCTTGCATCAACTGGCTCTCACTCTAGGAAAGCTGACATCATGCATGTCACCCTTTTGAAGCCATACCACACATGACGCTGACCGACTCGGTGGGCGTCGTCTGCAACGGGGCAGTGTATTCATACTGGACTTTCAACCAAGTGTGAAAGAGAAGGAAGCGAGGTTCAATTCTACACCAATCCTTCCACGGCCATCTATCATACTGCGTTGTAAAACGAACATCTCTCACGGTAACAATAATCTAAAAGTTCGTGCACCTTCTTCTCAAGAACTATGAAGCATGAAAAAACCAAGGTTTTCACCTGTGTTAATTAGCGGCATTTGTGTAACAGTGTCTAGAATAAGTAGCCTAGGTACATTTGTATTTTTTAGATAAGCAACAATCTTCATACATTGACGAATGTAAAAAACATTAATCTAGATTTCTTTCTATGCTCACAATTTCAGTTCCACTTCTGTAATGTGAAGGTACACTCACACCTCATTGTAACAATAACAAAGTTGCATTTGACACGAACATAAGCTCTTCATATTCGAAAATTTGTTATAGAGGTTTATTCTTAACACTATATCTATTGCAAAACTATTTCTAGTTTACTTCGTTATAAGCGATATTTCCTTATATCTGTGTTCATTATATCGAGCTTTGAGGGGTGGTGGTAATAACTTTATAAACAACTCTGGCGAATTTGTGGCCTGGGCTAAGGCCGCCCCCGAGGGAGGACCGGAGACCCTGTATACTCGCAGCCTTGCTGGATGGCTCAGAGTTAATCTTGGAGGCTGAAGCTGCGCAGCGCAGCCTCATCAGGGGAGACTGCATTTTCTTCTGCTAAAACTGCACATTGCCAGAGGATGTGCCTAAGTGTTGCGTGAGTCCAGCCACACCATTCATAGGTATCATCTGGGTAGGCATCTGGATATAGCCTCTTAAAATGAATGGGGTTGGGGAAGGTCTGGGTTTGTAATTGCCTCCAATCTACCGCATTTGATCTGTCCAGCTTGGGGCTTGGTGGTCGATAACTACGCCTAGATATTTTATAAAAGTTCGTAACGTCAGAGCATCGGGTCATTCTATCCCTCTCTGTCCAGCCCTCCACGGGATGTCCCTCCCCTGAAGAGGGCCTTTCTACATGGGCGCGGAACATGAGACCTCACACTATGCAACGGTCCTCCCCATTGAGGCACTACCACATTCAACGAGTCATTTAACGTGTGGCTCCCTGCGAGCCATGCAAAAAGTAAAATTTTCTTTTACTCAGAATGGACATAAGCAAAATATAACTTGCACAGTACTTGTAGCTTAAGATTTCATTCTATCTGTGCCAAAGTAGGGGGTGCAGCACAAAATTGTAAAACTGTGCAGATAGCAGATCTTGAGGGGAAAAAGAGTATGTATGCAAAAAACCAAGCAAGACAACAACACTAAATACAATTTTCAACCATTTTAGAGCTTCCATGCAACCTGTATCAATTCAAGATTACTTGGAAATCTTGAAGACATAGCTTTTAATACTACTGCTTTACAGACAAATGAGAAAACTCACTTTAAAAGTCTCATCCCAACTTAGATCAAATTAAGGAAAATTCAGCAGATTCCACATACCTTGGGAATTGATGTTGTAATTTTTTATTGAGCAACACGTTATGAAATGATGCTAAATATATGTACAAACCTTGCACGCACAGACATATGTCGAACACTTCCCAATGTTTATATGACCAGTTTGAACTTGCGCAACGATAAAAACAGGAGCATGAGTATTAGCAACGCCAGAAGCGATAAGCTGATATGAAGTGCTCTCACCAAATCGTGAGGTGAAAACCAAGTCGCAAGGAGTTCCTACCTTTCAGCTGGGAGTACGATGAGGCCTTGAACATCTGAAGACAATGAAACACAAGAGCAGGTCAGGTCAGTGCATCGCACGAAGTGCAGTACTCGTGGATTGAAACACCAAAGTCGGAACACATGGTGGCAGGTACACGCGGTACTGCCCATGGAAAGGCGTTGCATTGTAGTGTGGAGAGAAGATGATAATGGTTTTGAGGCACGATTACAATTTCCAGTCAACCCACAGGCCAGACTGTCGTCCACTGCCACTCTAGCGGAGCACATCAACCTCGGCTAGTTTCAGCGTGATTCCAAAGCAAGCGTGTCGATTTCAAGGTATGGAAAAGCATGCCGGGGCTGCAGTGAGCTCGTGCGGTTTGGTATCTATAGAAACACTCAATGGTGACCCGGAATGGTAACAATGAAAAAAAATCTCGCCCTCGCGTTGTCTTAGAATGCAACACCTGACTTCTGCCAGTGTCCATGGGCAGTGCAGCACATACCGACAGCCTTTGATTTTGACTTGCCTTTCAATCCGTGGGCACCGCATTATACTAGCGGAAAATTGTTCAAACTGCGATATATTCATGAAGAAACTTACCTGTTCGCGTGGGTGATACATTTACAATGCTCTTAAAGTAAGGATGCCTGCCAAAGAAACAAATGAAAACAGAAGTAAAGGAAAAGCACCTTTCGCATGTGTTAATTATGACTGTCAAGTTTCAACAGGGTAGAGCAAGAGTTGAAAATGCCCGTGAAATTTTAGTACGTACTTGCAATAGTGTTTTGCTGCTTATAAAAAAGCATAAAGAAGCAGCTGGTAGGAAGAAATGTTGCATATGTAAAGCCCCTTTTCTGTAGCTGCATAAATATAGCTCCTATTATGTGACTACATGTATATCTATATATAATAAGCAAAAGGAGATGGCCAGAATATACTACTTAAAAAGAAGAGTACTGCAACGTGAAATGCAATATTAACGTCCATTTTAAACTTGATTTGCAGTAGTGATCACACTGCTTTGAAAACAATTCATATTATTTACAAAGCAAACATTGCTAGCCCATCAAAATAAATGGATAATTTTACACGCAAAACCATCTGTTGTTAGTCACGCCCTACATGGCAAATAAAGACGGAGATAGTTAGTTGGCTTAAGTAGTTAAAGCATTATTTATCATACGAGTTTGTATAGAAAAAGAAATTATAGAACTATTCAATGTCAAGGTATCTCTGGCACAACAAGTAAAACGTAAGAGTGGTGCAACTGAAGCAAGAATTATTTTAAAAAGAGGGCAAGAGAATACGTACAGTGAACCATTTTCTGGCGACTCGGGTTTCAGTTCAATTTTTCGAATGTTCTCAACAAACAGGAAAGACTGCTGCCCTACAAAAACAAAACAAAAGAATTAACATGCCAAGGCACACAGTACAACAAAAATGATTGGGCCAAAACACACCCAATGAAGGGAAATTCGTGTGCTGCACTGTCCTTTCTATAGCTTTAAGAGGCCAACTTCCTCCAAATTTTTATAAGACAGACCACACTCAGTGCATAACAGTGACTGACTATTGGTGCTCTGTCTCCAACCCGCTAGCTACTCCAATGCAAAACAAGAGCATGAAAGTGTTTGGAAGATGATTACGGGCGGGCCTATGTACAAGCGTTTAAAGTGTTGTGGTATACCCTGCAAATGATGCTGGTGTTTGCAAACACGCCTACCGGTTGAAAAAGTGAACCTCTTAAAAATACTCAACAACAAATGAACATGGAACATTTGTAACCAATGTTTTCACAAGGAAATCTGTCTTCATTGGAGTTTCTTGTCCTGCTGCTACACTGACAGTGAAGAATTGCCGCAGGGCACGAAAATGCCTAAGAATTTGTAACAATGATGAATGTGGCAAATTATGTGTACTCCCTTCGAAGAAGGGCTCTACACGTACTATATTGTTACGTTAGAAAGAGACTGGTAGACGTTGAAAGGGGCCGTTTATTAGGTCGTGAGGGGCAGCTCAGAAGCGGCCGACTGGTTAAAGATCCTCCTGATCCTCTTCTTCCTCTCTCGCTCTGGGCGACGAGTGCGTTCCCCGTATACGCTTCTTCGTCTTCGTGCATGTTACGCAACATTCCTCTCCGCGCAGACGAAGGCTGCCGGTACGAGTCAGTCAAGTTGTCGTGGCGTGTAAAGTTTCAGGCGGGCAACATGAACCACTTGAGTTTTGGCAGCTCGTCGACCACTCGCCGTGAGACGAGCCATTACATAGTTGACCTCTGTAAGTCTGTCGACAATGACAAAGGGTCCATCGTAAGTGGCCAAAAACTTTTGGCATAACCCGCGCTTGCGCATCGGAGTCCACAACCACACCAGATCACCACGGCGATAAATCACTGGTCGATGGTGAATGTCATAGCGTGCCTTAGCTTTGTCTTGCGACGCCAATGTGCGTAGTCGAGCTATGCGACGCGCCTCTTCGGCGAGGCAGAGAGTCTCGGCGACAGTGACGTTGTCGTGGTCACAGAAAGGCAATATTGTGTCAATTGTGTGCCGGGGCGAACGTGCATAAAGCAGAAAGAAACATAAAGCAAAAAGAAAGGGCTATAGCCTGTAATCTCATGCTTCGCGGTGTTGAACGCGTAAGTAATGAACGGGAGTACGTCATCCCAGTTCTTGTGGTCGCATGAGACATACATAGACAACATGTTGATAATGGTGCGGTTGGTACGCTCCGTCAGCCCATTAGTTTGGGGGTATGGTGTCAAGTGACGCAGGCGAGACTCACATAAACAGAGTAGCTCCTTCACGACATCTGCTGTGAATTGTTGTCCACGATCACTGATAATCAGGCGAGGTGGGCCATGTCGGAGGATGACATACTGTAACAAAAACGACGAGACTTCACTGGCAGTTGCGGAGGGGACGGCCGCCGTCTCGCAGTAGCGTGTGTGGTAGTCGACGCAAACAATTATCTATCGGTTGCCCTTAGCCGATTTTGGGAAGGGGCCCAGAAAGTCAATGCCCACTTGTTCGAAAAGGTGTACTTGGAGTAGGCATCGGCTGTAGAAGACCAGCTGGACCAGTAGATGGACGTTTGTGACGCTGACATTGCATGCAGCTTGCCACATAACTCTCAACAGATTTCTACATACCAGGCCAATAAAAGCGCTCTTTAGTCCGGTGAAGAGTCCGCGCCAAACCTAAATGTCCAGATGTAGGGTCGTCGTCCATGACTCTCATAGTAACTGTTCGCAGGCTCTCCGGGACCACTAGAAGGAAACGCGCACCACTGCTGGAGAGGTTCCTTTTGAATGACAGTCCATCACGCATACAAAAACGGCGTGCACTAGTGGAAGCGGATGCAGCGGCGAATAGTAGTGCTAGTTTAGCATCCTTCCGCTGTTCTGCTCTGAAACTGGGATAGTCCGGGAACGTAGGCGACACAGACGCTACAAGCTGGTCAAGGTCATCGGATTCACAGTCTGTTGTGCTAAGTGGCATACGTGAAAGACAGTCTGCGTCAGCATGTCGACGACCACTCTTGTAAGCGACGGTAAAACTGTATTCTTGTAGCCGGAGTGCCCAGCGCGCAAGGCGGCCACAAGGGTCACGAAGGTTGACAAGCCAACACAATGAGTGGTGGTCGGTTACGACTGTGAATGGGCGTCCGTACAGATAAGACCTAAACCGCTGAATTGCAAATAATACCGCCAGGCATTCTTGTTCCGTAACAGTGTAGTTTTGTTCCGGCCTGCTTAGGGAGCGACTTGCGTATGCGATGACGTGTTCGCGGTCGCCGTAACGTTGTACTAGGACGGCTCCAATACCTATGCCGCTAGCATCCGTATGAAGCTCTGTCGGAGCAGAAGAACTGAAGCTCTGTCGGAGCAAAAGGACTGAAGGACGAGTCGTGACGTCAGCAAAAACTTCAATTGACGGAACGAAGAATCGCACTCCGGAGTCCACTCAAAGGAATTGTCCTTTCGTAAGAGGCATGTGAGAGGATACGCAACGTCGGCAAACTTCGGAATAAAGCGGCGGAAGTACGAACAAAGCCCCAGAAAACTACGAAGCTCCTTGACGGAACGCGGCGCATTGAACGCCTCAACTGCTGCTGTCTTCTGGGGGTCAGGGGGGATGCCATCCTTGTCAACGAGATGCCCGAGCACAAGCGTCTGGCGGTCTCCGAAGTGGCATTTCTTAGAGTTTAAAATTAGGCCGGCGTTTCGGATGCAGTTCAAAACAGTATCCAGACGAGAGTTGTGTTCACTGAACGTGCGGCCAAAGATGACGACGTCGTCGAGGTAGCACATGCAGATGTTCCACTTCAAGCCACGCAGAATGGTGTCCATAAACCTCTCGAACGTTGCCGGTGCATTGCACAGTCCAAATGGCATCACGTTGAATTCAAAGAGCCCATCAGGGGTTACAAAGGCAGTCTTTTCCTTGTCCTCTGGGTGCATCGGAATTTGCCAATAACCGGATCGTAAGTCTACGGAGGAAAAATAAGAGGCCAAATGTAAGCAGTCTATTGCATCCTCTATACGTGGCAGCGGGTATACGTCCTTTTTAGTCACGGCATTCAGTCGGCGATAGTCGACGCAAAATCTCCAAGATCCATCTTTCTTCTTAACAAGGATTACCGGTGCTGCCCACGGACTGGATGACTCTTGTACCACTCCCTTTTGCATCATTTCCTGCACTTGGTCGTTGATAATTTGTCTTTCTGACGGGGAAACACGATATTGTCACGATGAGTCACAAGTACTGGGGGATTTATTAAACCACCAGGTAGCTAGCACTAGGACGATGCATCAGTCGTGGCTGGCTCTCGAGCCAAGAAGAAGGCGATCTTTTTTCCTCCAGATTTAGAGCCGCTCTTGCTGTCAACCCACTACGTGCTGGCGGCATTATCCCCCCTTCCGAAAAGAAAAAAAAAAAACAAGTACCAAAAAGAGGAAAGGAAAGTACATAGGAGCACCGCGATGCTACTACATAGGCACGTGAAAAAAAAATGGAAATTCGAATGAAGTGAAAGTAAAAATTGAAGAGCGTGCCAACATAGGAAACGTCAATGAACGAGAAAGTAAGTTCACAAAATAAACAAAAAACACAAAGAACGCTGTATGGTAAAGGAAAAGTTACGAACAACGCGCAATAAATGGCTTCATGCGCAACACATGAACGACGTCCGGCCTCAGCCGTGTCCTGCTCCGTGCATGGGGTGTTGAGTCCGGAACCACTTCGTAGTTCACGTCACTGACGCGGCGTAACACTTTATATGGGCCAAAGTACCGGCTCAGCAACTTTTCACTAAGGCCACGGCGGTGGACGGGCGTCCACACCCAAACTTGATCTCCGGGGCTGTAAAACACTTCTCTGTGGCGGGTATTATAGCGTCGTGCGTCTGCCTGCTGTTGCTGGCCGATGTGCAGTCGCGCGAGCTGCCGGGCTTCCTCGGCATGCTCTGCGAATTCTTCGGCGTCTGTTGCCAACTCGTCTTCGTCCTGACACGGTAGCATTGAGTCTAGCATGGTCTGCACTTCGCGGCCGTAGAGAAGCCGAAATGGCGTGAATCGCGTGGTCTCTTGCACGGCGGTATTATACGCGAAGGTCACGTAAGGCAAGATCCGGTCCCATGTTTTGTGCTGTACGTCGATGTACATTGAGATCATGTCTGCGAGGGTCTTATTCAGTCGTTCAGTAAGTCCGTTGGTTTGCGGGTGGTACGCAGTTGTCCTTCGGTGTCTGGTGTTGCTCAGTTTGAAAACTTCGTCCGTAAGCTGCGCCGTGAATGCCGTCCCTCTGTCCGTTATTACACTGGAAGGAGCACCGTGTCGTAACACGATGTGGCGCATGAAAAATTGTGCTACCTCAGAAGCCGTGGCTCGTGGGATCGCCTGGGTTTCAGCGTAGCGTGTCAAATAGTCGGTCGCGACGATCACCCATTTGTTGCTGTCCGCAGACATAGGAAATGGCCCGAGAATGTCCATGCCGACTTGGTCGAACGGCGTGCAGGGTGCTTCAATGGGCTGAAGCAAACCAGCTGGCCTAACAGATGGTTGCTTTCGGCGCTGACATTCCCGACAGCTCTTTACGTACTTCTTTACGCTTGCTGAAAGTCCTGGCCAATAGTACCTCTCGCTCACTCTGGCAAGTGTCCTTGAGTAGCCCAGATGACCGGATGTGGGTTCGTCATGGCAAGCAAAGAGGACATCGTCTCGCATGTCTCGAGGAACCACCAGGAGGTAAGCACGATTGTTCGAACGAGCGTTCTTCTTGTACAGCACACCGTCTCGTAGGCAGAACGACGTCAACGAGCGGGATAAATGACGTGGTATGATTGCGCCCTGGCCCTCTATATGATCAATGATTGGACGAATCTCTG